CTTAAACCTAAAAATATCTCCAGTAATTATGGTTTAGATCTGGAAAGCAGTGGATGGATTTTGATTTCTGAAAGAGACAATGCTGTTTCTGAAGATGGTTGAGTAATTGTGGAGTGAAAGGTAAAATAAACAGCCTTGTAATTCCCTGCCTGTGACGTAGTGCTGAGGTGTGCAAGCAATCTCATGAGGGAGGAAAAAGGTCTTAGTACATAAGTCTGGTGGTTTTAGGCAGAAAAATAGGGCTTTTATATGTTTGCTAGCAAATGTAAAACTTCATTCAAACACAATAAAAAAAAGCACTTGTTTCAGCTGTGCATGGTCACTATTCAGGAACACACATGGCTTTATTTTAAAGCAAGCCAACAAACAAAAATCTCCTCTGTGATTCAAGATTGCACTTCTGTATTTTCCTGTGTAAAAAGCCTTGTTGACTACTACCAGCCTTCTTTCTGAACTCCTGTACAACTACACCATCACTCTTCAGTGAGGGCATGCTCTCATTCTTTGGACTCTCTGAAGAACATATTGGATACATGGGCCCTGACTAAGGGATAGGAAATGTCCCTGACACATTGTCTGCACTATGTTAGCAAGTTACTGGGAGGTAATCTAGTATAAAAACTGATAAAAAAAAAAAAATCTGTGCATTTTTACCTAATCATCCAAAGATATGTAGTACCATATCTTTAAAAACACTTGGGTGAAGAAAAGAATGCAAACCACTCATAATATACCTTATTTCAAGTGAAACCTGCTGTCCTTTATTTCATCAAAATGCACCTTGCCAAAGATTTTTATTTTCTGCACATGTTATCATTCAGTTTGAATTAATTTGTGGTAACTGTTTCCTGGATGTTTTTGTTCCATCCCTTGAGTGAGAACTGGCATTTATCTGACAATATGGTGAGATGATTCAAGGAAGACTTGTCTAGAAAAACTAATTTCTTAATTTCATAGTTACTTTTCTCTCTGAATTGATTTACTACACATTTGTACAAATGCCAGGGCATTAAATGAGATGAAGCAGGAGCTGGAGGAGAAGGTGAGACCACAGAAGCTCTGATTTGACCAGCTCAAATTAGTGCATAAGGGCATCCTTAACCTCTTCCTTGTTGTTTGAAAGCTTGATGGCTAAACTGCAATGAAAGTGATAATGCTGAAATACCTGCTTAGGACAGCAAAGCCAACCAGTTGCAAGGCAAGCAGCCAGTTCTGAAAATCCAACCACTCTGATAGCAAAACATTATGCTATTCTTATTATCTTCATTCAATGACATTCTTCATTATCTCAGTAAACAGAGACACCACGGGCCATGTGATCCATCATCCCATCATCTTTTTGCTTTGGTAACAATCTGGTTTCTCTCTCACTTGTCACTCACCAAGGTGAGCACTGCTTCCCTTCTTTGCAAAGCTCAACTTTGTCTCCTAGGCTGGGTATGTTCTCCTGCACTAAACTAAGCAGTTCAACTAACCCTAAACTGTAATTGTCTCCTCCTGTGCTGCAGACAGATTAGGGTTCTTCCATGTGGCATTAGCCCACTCAGTGGCTGCTGCTGTCTCCGCTGTCCCCCAGTCATGCTGTCCTCCACTCTCCTTTGTGCTTCCACCATCACCACCAGACCACTTCCAAAAAAAGTGCTAATGGCACAGGGGCACAGAAAAGCAGCCAACAATTAGACACGAGGGTATTTTACATGACTGAATTTGATTGAAGTTTGGGCCACTGTCCTTGTCCTTTCCCTCTGCTCTGACCACGTGTTCCTGCTGCTCCCTTGGGCTGGATTTAACCAATATCCAACTGCCTATGTCTAGCATACAGCCTGCATTACTTACATCCCTGTATGGAGCATTCTGGAGTGAGCATTTTTCTAGTTACAGAGTAGGAGCACTTGCTAATGGAAAAGCTGCTGGACTATTTCAAGAATGTTTCAAAACCTTTAACACTTTATTGAAACTGTTCTCTCGTCCATCTGCCTGCAAATCCAATTTTTTTCTCAGCTCTAAGGAGATATAAAACAATTTAAAATGAGTCCTTGTCACATGCTAACTCTTTAAAAAGTGTTATCTTTTTACGCTAAAGTAAGAAATGAGTCCTGTTTCTTAGTCCTTTAATTAAAAGGCAGGTATTTTCCACCTTCCATATTGCCATTTAGGGGTGTAACATTTCTGCTTCTCCAAGATATCCAAGATATTAGACAGGAAGTTTGCAGGATTTCTGCCAGTCTGGAAATCCACTGCCCCTTACACAAAGGCACTGCTTGGGAAGGAGAGGTTCTACCTGCCTACGTCAGTGGTTCTCAAGGACAATTCTCCGTGGGGCTGTGTGGAATGGCAATGTCTTGCTCCCAGCCTCCGTGTTGGGACAGGGTGGTCATGCAAAGAGCAATGGGGTGTGATGATCTTGTGGGGAGATCATTGGAGCCCGGGTCCATTTTGAGAGACATTTTTTTTTTTATATAAGTACAAATATAATTTTAATGCCTTTTTGCTGGCCTGGAGCATGAAAGGCCAGAAAGTACCTTGAAAATTCACTTATAAGTCTCTTGAACCAAATGAATGCCAAATATCTTGCAGAATGATACCACCATTTTTTTTTCATAATTTAGTTTTGTATCCTGCTCTTTTCCTAAATAATAGTTTAATGACTATGTTCATGAAGAATTAACAGTCATTAACAGAAAATTAAGATACATCTTTAGCAGTGTGGCAATACCACCTTAAACATGGAGATGCTGTAAAAGCATTGTGAAGAAAAGTGTTAAATCTTAGGAACTGCTAAGATAAAGTAATAATTGACATTTCTGTGTGCAAGATGATGGGACTGTGTTTTAGGAGAATCCAATGCTAGAAGAAAACTATAAATCATCTCATTAAGCAAGAGTTTAGATTTCTTAACTTGTACTAACATAAGCCAACTACAAATATTCAGCACTGGTAATTATTCTAGATCTAGATATTTGGAGAGAAATTGGGGACAAAGTATCTATCAGTTTTTTCTTTTCCAATAAGGTCTTCATAAAAGAATGTCCAAAGCAGGAAACATTTGTTATAGGTCCAGAGAAAGAAAGCTGGCAATAGTGGAGTAAGCAAAAGTATCTATTTTTATGTGAAACTGCTTTTATTTTATAAGGTCACTCCATGGGGCAAGAAGAATGTCACCTTACAGAAATCTTAGTTTAATTTATAAATCACTATGTGGAGCTTATGCATGATTGCGTCTCACAAATTCATGTATTTTATTCTGTTAGGTGGATTTTGATTAAGCTCTCATTCAGTAGAAACAAACAAAACAAGACATCAATAATTAAACTACTTCCAATATACTACCTGATTATATCAACAGGAAACTATGTATCCTAATCTCAGTTGTAAACTGCTGCTAAACAATACCATTGTTAATTCAAGTAAGTTTAATGAAATATTTACCAATTAGACAAATACCTTCCAAAGAGAAAAAAAACAAACACCTATAGTATTAGTGTAGAGGAAAAAGCTCTTTAAGGTAGTTTAACCTTTTAAAGCAGACAGCATGGCAAAATCAGACAATATTGCCTGAAATAAGGAGGGTAGCAATGGCATAATCTTTCTATAACAACTTATATTTGCTTGGTATGCCCAGCCTATCAGAGATAAATATAATTTCATCTAAGATTCTATGAAAAATTAAGTCAAAAGTCAAACGTCAACAGATAAAAAAGCAAGCCAGAATTAATTCTTATATTAGGTAGTAATTCTTATATTAGGTAGTAATTTCCTCTGAGAAAATAAGCCTAATTTTTAGGATATTAAATACTAAATATTACAATTAAATTACTATAGTTAATATGATTTGCATTGAAAGTAATCCCTTCCTATATGAAAAAACCAAGGATACCACTGGTTATCTGCCTGATGAACCTTGTCTTAAGAATGTGTTCAGGTTCTCACCTTGTAAGGTTGCTCACTTGTACACTGGGACTAGGTTGTGTATTTTGCTCACTCTGTCTTGTGGAAAGTGATAGAGCAGTGCTGGCTATGACTGAATTAAGCCAAATAACCTCTGCCCATATTCAAATGCCACGGCTGCAATGACCCTGCTGTGTCACTGCCGCTGCTCTCGGGCACTCTGTGTCACCCCGGGAGGATGCGAAGGCTCCGGCCGCCGCCTCCATGGATGGAGCTCCGGATTCCTGGCAGCAGCAGTCTGGGTTCTTCAGCTGGAGCCGAGTGTCCATGTCCTTGAGGGAACCCCAGCAGGCTCCATCAGAGCTCTCAGCTGGTCTTTAGGTTGTGTGCAGCACAAGCAGTGCTGGAAACCTTTCACCTGGGATAAAGCTGATCTTTCCTAAAGCCCTTGCTCACTGAGACCAGGGAATAACATTTGAACAGGATTCTGAGGAAAGATCTGCTCTTCTGAGTCCTCCATCAAGCAAAAACTATTTAAAACATAGCCATGTATTTCCATCCAGTTTCATGTGGATAGTTTATAAAGCAATATAACTCCTATTTCTTCATGCACATTGTTAAACAAAAGCTGATCTTAATCACATTATAACCCATAATAATGAGATTGAAATTTAATTTCAAGTACAAAATAATTCTGTATGAGTTCTTCAGCAGCTTCCTTTCATCTAACATGGAATGAGCCTTTTCTCTTTAATTGTGTCTATCTGCCTTCAGGAACATTGAGCAGCCTTCTAAACATCTGCTCTTTCCAACCTGCCACTTAACAAGTTATGGTTCAGAATAATTTTCTCTTTGGCTTATTTTTCTTTCTTGTGAGTTGCAGATTATGATCATAAAAAAATGCAGAGATACACCAAAGTCTGAAAGCCAAACATGGGGAAATCTCTGCAAGAGTCTTTATTAATGTGTTCTGTATAGAAATCTGTATTTTTAGTTTGTATGTTTTCTTTTAAAAGAAAGCTGCAAATTACAGACTTTTTTAGTTTAATGTACTGCTGTCAGCTCCACACCCTATCCAAATAACTCTCAAGGAGATGGCAGTGAGTACTTACTGAGGCACAGTTGCTTTCTGACTTGTCTTCTAGAAAGCCAATTTGGCATGGTGTCCTCTGATTCTGCAGCCAGTAGTCTGTTGATTCTAGCAGACTGTTACTGCAGAGAATCTGTTAAAATAGTTAAAAATAGTTAAAATAATTACAATTTTTTTTCTGAGCCCTATTGTGCTTTGGGGGCCAGAGTAGGGGGAGAAAGAGGGGCAAGACAGACCTGTTTGCTTTGGACCTGTCCAGTTACTGCACCTTTAGTCAAATCACTTGTATATCCCCTGAAGTATGAACCTATTTTCTTCCAGAATTGAGAGTCCTTGGAGATAGACACTTGAAGAAAATGCCCAAACCCAGTATTTTTATTGAAAAATATTGCTGTTAGTGTTGTTCTGCATTAAAGTGATAAACAAACATATTAGGAAAACTAATTATTCAATTACACCAGAGTACACCAACTTGCAGCCTTTATGACTGACAGTATCTCCCCACAGTAGATCAGTACTACTCATTCTGCCAGAAGCCTCATTTCAGGGACTTCTGAGGTTCCAAACTCCTTCTTCTTAAACAAGTTTTTCTGTTTTCTGAGAAGTTGAAGTATTTTGCACCTTCTGTAATGAGTCTTGAGGTCAGTCAGCACCCTGAGACCAAAACATTGAGTTTAATCTCTGTGTTGACTCAGCCCTACAGTATGTGCCACAGCTCCACTCAAACAAAACCAAAATGGGGCTACAGAGATCTGTAGACTTTAAAGAGGCAAAGCCAGTTTGCAAATCTGATGCTTAGATTAAACTGAATTCTTTTCTTTCTGCCTCTGCACTAATATTCTACCATGAAAAAGAAGGACTATTAGTATCTTTAAAACAGCAAGTGGAACAGCAGGAAAAATACTGCTGCACCATTAGTGCTACTTATGAATATTCCTAGGGCTTAGCATCTTCCCTAGGCAGCAACGTTAAGAAGTATGTTTATGAAATAGATGTATATTTTATTTGTACTTCTTGCAACTCTTGTATTACATGGAAATAGCCTGTACTCTAATCTTTGGACTTTTAATAATGATATTTAAAATATAAATTTGTTACTATACCTTGGGAAAGAAAATCTATCTACAGTACCTTCCTTTACCTGACTGCAAGTTTTGTATTGACATTTGTCCTGCTTCAAGAACACTTGACCTCTAAGCCTAGATCTCTTCTTCAGGAAGAGAAGTGAGAATAACTTGTGAGTCCTTCTCATTTCTCAGGGAAGATGGATGACTGAGGAAAGCTCATGTGGCCAGTTGACACAGTTCTCTAATACTTGGGGGCATCCAGAAATAAGCTTATTACCACCCACAGACTAACTCCCACTTTAATATTTATCTTTCTGGTAGAAAGTCAGTTGCACAGTTAATATTTCACTCCCTGTATTACACTTATATTGATTTCTAAATAAAAGTCAGCAGGAGAGGGATGAGGAGGTAATGGGGAACACCACAGGCCCTGAGCTTGGCCTGCTTCAGTGCCTTTTTTGGTGCCCATAGAGACTTTCCACCTTTGCACTTGTTTCTCAGTACACCAGCCCTGCTATGGGTTTTCTTCCAAAGAGCTTTAAAATACAAATTTAAGGTTCACAAAATACTCAGGGGAAGTACTGTGCCCAAAAACTTTCTTCTGAGAATACCAAAGGCTCATGAATGCTTCACCAGCCTCTTCTTAGGGGTTGCTAACTAATCTTATTTACCAGTGCAATGACTCTGCACTCAAAAAATTTTATAACCTCCCGTCTCAGTGCAAAAAGATTCCTGCCATCATAACTAACTCCAAGAGTAGATAGGGAAAATAATACACTCCATATCCCAAAGAAACAATTTCCTGTTAGTGTAATCAACTCTTGTGTGGGTTTGGTTGTTTTATCTTTTTTGGGTTTTTTTCTGTTTTTTGGTGGGTTTTTTTTTTTGAGGAAATCTTGAAGCATTATGAACTGGTGGGTAAAATCTGGAATTAGGAATTGCTTTCCTTTTTCTGAAAAGTTATCATTCTCTGAGGCTTTATGAAGAGAACATAGAATTGAACACACACAAAAACACACATACAAATATATATATGATTTCAGATTTAATTAGATTCTAGACATTCTCATCCTCAAGGGCTGACGTTAAAATAAACATAATCTTGTTAAAATATAATTTTGCATACACAGGAAACTTTTTTTTTATCTCAAACAGCTTTTTCTGTAACAAGCAGTCTTGTTTAATTTCCTTAAAGATCACAGTGAATTTTTCTTTGACCTTTATTACTTTAGATTTTTCTTCCCCAAAACTCAGTTTCTGAGAAACTGTGATAGGCAGAAACTTATCATGCCAAAACAAGCTGCAGATATCCTTGGTGCTGCTCATCTTTGTCTCAGAAGGACTTGGTGTGCATTTCAGAACACCTCAATCATAACAGGTGTATATTGTACATGACAAACCCATGAAATGAGCTGGGCAGTCCACACTTCACCCACTTTATCTCCTGTGGCATGTTAAATGATCCTTGGTAGCTTTAATTATCTTTCAGAGATATTTTTATCAGGAAACAAATACTGGTGAAGACAAATGTTTTGGTCTGGTCAGGTCAGGTCATGGTTGCCAAGCTTGAGTCACTTCAGGGTGGTTTATGAGTTCCAAGGCTTTATATTTCATTTAATTTTTTGTATGCAGCTTTTCATGACAGACTTTGAAGTTAAGGGTAGAAATTACTACATGGAAGTTTTGGACAGCATGTGATTTCTAAGTAACCTCAAGTAGATGAATACCATTAAGTAGGATTACTTGTTCCCTGGGCCAGATTCTGCTCTCCTGTGCATTGGTAGTTCTGCACACACACTTGAGGATGTATCCAGAAGTGTCAAGAGGGGTGAATAGGTGTAACATTTTTAATACTGGAGGTTGGGGAAAATAATTTACAGCAATTTGGATTTGAAAAGGACAGGTGAGAAAAACAAAACCAGATACACTTGAGTCCACACAGCACAAGTTGGCAGAGGTCAACTGGTCAGATATAAGGAACAGAGGTTGGCTCAAAATAATTTGGAAAGGCTCCAGAAACTACTCTGAAAAGACAGTGCTGTGAGAATGGGAGAATGCAGGAATGTGTGCCAGAGGTGTCCTTGCACATGGTCTGGTTTTACACAGGTCTCAGTGCTGCTCAGGAGATGGAGGAGACATTTGAGTCAGTGGTGGCAGGAGGGAAGGGTAAATGTTGGATCAGTTTAACTTCCATCTTATGAAACACAAATTCTTGCGTTAGGACCGTTACAGACATGATATGGTTCAGAGCTTTCCCCTTAGTACTTCCGTGGAGGAAAGAGAATTTGGGCTACCCTGCAATGCTGATAGCAGGTAGGGTTACACACACCTGCTGTGCAAAAATGTATCTCCAGAAGCCATGTGAACTTTTGGGCATATTTCTTTGGTAACAGAGAGTCTTACTGTGATCAAAGACACACATATAGTAAGAATAAATGGACTATTTCTTACAATAGCCTCTTGCTATTGTAAGGCAGCTCTCCCTGTTAAATAGGTTCATGTTTAAGACAAAGTGGGAGTTTACACATGCATGAAAACTTGATGGGATATTCATGCTTTTAAAGGAACGTACAGAAGTCCTTATAGAAAAATAATATATGACTGCAATGATCAAAAGTGTATAAACTTGAAGGAGTTGATCTAAATTAAGAGAGCTAGTTAATTAATCAAAAGCAATGTGAGAACTGGTACTCTTTTTATCTCTACCATCATATTACCACTGCCATTCTTGCATTTAAGCATTTCTTCAAAATATACTGAGGTGATCTGTACCAAATGACAAGAAAACGAACCCTCTTCTCCTTCAGCTGTCAGTCTGCAGACCTGCCCTTTAAGGCAAACAGTATCACTTGCCAAAATTTCATCCTCCTGTCTTCTATACTTTCACCTCCTGTACTTCTCTTCATTCTTATTTAATTAAGACAAGTGCAGAGTAAATCCCACTGACACATTGTTAGTATTTTTCCTATCAGCTGAAAACTGAAAGCAGAATTTGATTCATTGACCATACTCATGTGACAGCTGCACACACTATAGTGCTGTATATCTGGCTTGGAGCAGGATCATCACACTCAGAAAAAATAATTCAGGATGAATCTGCATCATGCACTAAATGTGAAATCAGCAGTAATTCATGGTTCTAAAAAAAAGTTTTCCACTCTCATCTAGAGACTCAGCCGTCAGCATTACTCAGTGTGTTGTGAATCAATGAACTAAATCAGCCTCTAGCAGAGTGTGGATTAGAAAAGTCACTCTTTCCCAGAGGAAAATACTGCATATGAGTTTAGTGTAACAGCTTCCTGCTCCCTGATTTAGCTCACAAGACATTAAAATAGAGTAAATATCTATAACCGAGACAGCATTAAAAAGGCTCTGCTCCACAAATGAAACATCTGCATCTTCATGACTGAACATCTTAATTGCTTTGGTTAATTACTACTCATCAAAAAAAGGTAGGAAAGTGGGACATACAGAATAAAACAAGATATCGAGGGGCACATCTGCATTCATTTAGGTTGGTCTGTGTAGTAACAGGCTACATCTCATATGGTTCCTGACAGGAGCCATTCATGCCAAATACAACTACTCAAATTCAACTGTTCAAACTGTTCCCTTGCAGCAGGAGGCCACAGCATTTCACTCCACCATACATCTAACTTCAAAATCACTTAACACAGGCTAAAAGAGAATTCTTCATCCTTTTCCACACATAACCCACCCCCCTCACACACACATACACAGACATAAAAGGTAAACTTTTATTTTTACACAAAGGTAAACTCTGACAACAGTGTAAAGAAGCCAGAAGCATCCTGCGGTTTGTCAGAAGTATTGTCAGAAGTGAGTAACTTCTTTTAGTGGGCTGACAGTCATAAAATTGATTTGTTTTACAATGAACAGCTCAGATGCAAGGGCCTGGACAGGTGAAGCAGCTGTCACACATGTGACACAGGATAACCTTTAAAACAGAGGGATGCTTATGAATGTGACCAAGCAGGAGCCTTTTTTGTAAAGGCAGTGGTGGCACTTAGTGTTGTGCCATTGTCTTTCACTCTTATATAAAGTAGACAACTCTGAGATTAAATAAAAATTTAAGATGTTTTCCCACACAGTAGATTTTCTGTCTATATGAGGATTCCAATTACAGTCAGCAGTATTTTTAAAAACTGCTATTTTGCAAATGAACCCTTTGATCAAATTAAATATTGACACTTTATCTTTTAGCCATGTTGGGGTGAGGAAGAAAAGCCCAGTCCCAGCATAAACATCTGTCTTATCGAGTTCTCTTTTTATATCAATGATATTATATCTAACACAATTTCTGTGCCTGGTTTTCAGTATAAGGAAAAAATCTTTAGCATCTACATGTTTTATCCTTCACTCTTCTTACAGAAAAAAAACAACTCCAAACCCAAAATGAAAGCATTATTAAAAGACAGAATTATGAGAAGACTGAATGAACTGTGAAAGTTTAAAATGAATGCTATCTTTTCAGCTCTAGAATTATGCCTGAGGGAGACAGTAGAGCTCTGAGGTTTATTGCAGAGTGAGAGGTGAAAGCCTGTCCTCCTCAATAATCTCTGGTAGTGCCCCCTTCCCATAGACTGTACTGCCATAACAAGCTCCTAGGAAGGAGGAATAAAAGGTCTTCACCTTTTATTATCAGTTGTACTGAAATTAGCTATACACATAAAATAGCATTTGACCCCTCCTAATGACATACATATACACTTTTGTGTGTCACTTTTTTCCCCCTCGCATGCTCTAAATTAAATTATTACATCTAAACCTGGTTTTAGGAAACAATAACAGCATTCTATACCACCTATTGTTGTAGAAGCCATTCCAATAAAAGTTTTTTTCATGAAGGACCCTCCATTGCATTGATCTGAGAGAAGCAAAGCTCTGTCTGGGTCTCAGAAACTTGTCATTTATTGTTAGTCCTGAAGGTATTTGTGCTTTTATTTCATATAATGAAATGTCAGATAATGAGGTAAATTAGAAATGTTCAATGGGAGTTTACTTCCTATATATGTCTAATGTATTTTGGGACAAGTACAGACCAGGCAGACAAAACTTGCAAGATACCATAACAGAACCACTAAGTTATTTTTCTGTATCAAACCTTTTCTAAGTATTTTGTATTCCTCACTAAAGCTGAAAGCTAAAAAGCAAAGCTATATATATATATATATATATATATATACTGGACTATGAATATAATATAAACTTAAAAGTTACCTTCTTACATGCTGTGACGGAGCTTCCAAAACTGCTTGCAGAACTGTCTGTGCTGCTGCCTTGGCGCTCTGGGACTTCATGCATCAGTGGAGATTCAAAGTTACTGAAGAACAAAAAAGAAACAAGCCCCCAAAAACCTTTCCAGTGACTCAGCTACATAAATAACTCAAATAATACCAAAAGACAGGTCAGTAAAGAGATGTAATTTAGAATACAAGATGCTGTCTGTACTCTCCTAGCTGATATTCCTAGTGAATTTATTGCTAATTTTCCCTTTTTGGAAGACTATCCTGAGCTATACGCTTTGGATATAAAATAGCAGTCTAATGTCTTTTGAAGACTAGAGGAAAGCATAAACTCCCTACAACCAGACCTGTCTGTCTTGAATGCCACTGTAAAAGGTGGTACTATCTTGTTCTCATACGCAGGCAGCTTAGAGCAGCAAATGAAATACTTGCTGCAATAATTCCACTTGGTAAACAACAGAAATATTTGCTGCAATTTTACCTGCCAGGATGGAAGTAAAGGGGTAATGATTACAAAGTAAAAAAACACGACAGGAGATGCAGTATTCTGTAATCCATATGGAACAGCTCAGTACACTGTAGGTTTGGGGCTAAACTAAATCATGCACATACTCTGTTTTGTGATACAGTGGTACACAACAAACATGTTTATTTTGGAACTGTGCAGATGTGAAGTACAAAACCATAAAGCCAAGTTCCCCCAGCCAAATTATTTGCATACACAGCAAGAACCAACCTTCATACTTTTCTTTTGGAATAGTTCAGGCCAGTCTTCAAAGATCTTCTATTGTTTAGTAATCACATTGGCCCAAGATTAAATGAAGCTTCTTCTGGTTGCGACAATCCCAGTTAAAGGCCACATGTGCTATAGGACTATTTATCCAGGAACACACTAAGAGAAAAGTATCATGCTCTGCTTCCCAGACTGGGTCTTTGGAGTGCTTTTAATTATTGCAAGTTACGTATGAGAATATGTGGAACAAGTTGTGATGGACCATAAAGAGTGGCCAGGTTACCATGGCTCTCATTGGTTCCAATGGGTAACAAACTGTCCTGCTATGCCCAAACCTGAAGTGCATTTTCCTCAGTCCCCTTTACTGGACTGTAAACCACTAAGTTAAGAGGAGGCCACTCGCACTTTTTTTTTCTGAAATCCAGAGCCAAGGACGACTAAGGCTACCTTTCCCTCCAAGATTCATGCATGTACCTTTCACCTGATACTGCTTAGGACTAGCCATAAATATATGCATTCTCACTGGTAAGAAACTTCCTCAATGAGAATTCTGCTGACGTGTGTGGTGCTATTCCATAATAATTTCAAAAATTATCTAGATGGAATTAGAAGAGTTAATAAAAAACATAAAACTAATTTAGGAATTGTTAATTGCTAGCTGGGGGGAAGTGTAATGAATCACATGGGAGGACAGAATATAGGTGCACAAGAGAGACCAGAGCGTTAATTGACTTAACTTGGAAAGTGTGTTACTACTTAATACTCTGGAAGATACCAGCATCATTTGTACTTAGAAAGATTTTTCTGTTTACATAACTCTGCTTCATTGCTCAGATGATATAGATACAGAGTAATATTTCTGGCAGTAATTTTTCTGGCATTTGACACAGCAAAATAGCATTTTATAGCCCTTATACTGAGTTCTTTAACAGAATGAAGGAAATTAAAAAAATGAAGTCAATTCTGATTTTCTAACTCCATTTAATGTAGGAACCTCATATTCAGAGGGTCAAATCATATAAGTATCCTCCTTGATAAGTCCACATTGAGATGCAGCCTTTGAATGAGGTAAAACTCGCCACTCGCAGCAGAAGCTGTGCACTGCCTCTTTTTATAAGATGCATCATATCTACAATCTAGTAGAAAATTACAGATTAAAGCTGACCTGCAGGTTGAATTACAAGGCCTTTTGTACTCTTTTGTCCTGCTCTTCACTGAGAGGAAGGCTGAGTGGCCCTGCCACAAGGAGCTGATGGGCTGGTAATGACTATTTGCTCTCAGTTCCACTGTGTGCAGGGAATTGAACTTCAGTGCCTGAAGTGAGTGTCGCTGAGTCTAACAGCAACAAAGATAACAATTTGACAACTACCTGAAGGCCTTCTTTGGAACTTAATTAAACAGTGCAAATAGAATATCACATTAAAGCATAGCTGGAAAGTGTAGTTGGAGAGTCACATTCTGACGTATAAACAAATCTGTGGTATCTCTGGACAGTATTTCAGCAAGGGGTAGCACATGACACGTCCCATACAGAAGTAAAGCTCTCCTCCAAGTCATGCGGAAAGTGAAATGATCTGTAAAAGCTTCTTAATCCTTTAAAATCTGTGTTCTTTCAAAATAAGCCCACTTTTCATTTGTAAATATAGAAAACCTTGTTAAAAGCACATGCTGACTGAAATAAATGTAGAATGCCATTAAATATTTTAAATGAGGCTAGGCTTCCACTCATACTAAAGTTCTGACAGGAAATCCAGCTGCCTTTGATGTTCCAAAAATTTGGTAAACCCAAATCCTCTCAACACCTATCCCAGTCCTTGGAGTTTTATTTCACATCCAGGTGATTACTTGGAGCACAGGAAAAATCAGCAACTGTTTTTCACAGGACAAGGGAAAATGCATTTACAAGTATCCCTAATACTTTCTGAGCTTCTTTTTTGTCTTAGGTTCATGTCTCTTGATCTGTAACTGCTGAGCAGAACTCCTGTTCTCATGCTGCACTGCAGTTCAACTCCTGAATTGTGCCAGGGACAGAACTCTGGGCTCCCACTGCTTGCAAACAGCTTCAACCAGTCAGGGTTCAGTCCCTGAAATGCAGAAAACTTTTAACAAAGATGAGTCAAAATAGGAGAGCTACATTCAGTTTTAGACTCCACAGCCTTTTCCTTATTGAGTTTATGGCTACACAATTTCTAGAAGAAGCACAGGGAAACCATCTGGCCACTCCTGCTGGTCAGTCAGGTACATGACTAGGTGTGACACAAAGGAGATCTGCAGCAATGCATATCAGCTGATGGGAAAATGAGCACCCAGCTGTGCTTCTGTAGGCTGGGAATTCAGCACCACAAAAGTAAGTCTTCCATAACTCAGGGAAGTGCAGTGTATGAGGTCCTGCATAGATACTTTCATGGGCACAGGTCTTTCTTCCAACACAGAACATGGATTTGACTTTTCAACATCTCTTTTTCAATTATCTCAACTCTCAGAGCAAAGTTTTCCTCTTCTCTTTATCCCATGGGTATCCTTTCTAAGTTTTCATTTTCAACAGGTGTTTCTCAAGAGACCCTCCTTAGGCTATACAGCTCTGCCACCCTTGCTCTGTAGCAAAGGCAGTGGTATAAACCTATTTTTAACTAACTCTTCAGGGAAAAACTATTCTGGCTTTGAGAAGCTTCTGCTCTTATTAGTTCCTCCATAGCAGGAGGCAGAATGAAACTCTTGCAGAGATGCAGCCAGCTCATCATCAAGTGATAGCTCTGCATTCACATACTATGCTCTTTACTTCACATTAAGAGCTTACATGAAGTCCTGGACTTTCAAGACATCTGGCACAGATTGGAGCCTTTTCATTACAAGATAAAGAAAGCTGTTAGAGTTTTTAGATCGCAGTTCTCAATTTTCTTGGCTCCCTTGTTTAGTATGAGATGGAGAATGCTGATCTGTGTTAGATGTGGTCATCTGACTTGCAGGTACCACAAAAAGCCATAGGCATAGCAATCAATCTCTGTTCAGGAATGGCTCATTTTGAGAGTTTTCTTTTGGTGTGAAAGATCCTAACATATAATTCAGCTTTTGAAACTAAAGTTGGGAACCTGGACCTAAGACTTGGTGCACCACTTAAGTGCACTATTTTCACTTTGGTATTTACATTAACAGAGAAGTCTCCACACTCATTTGCCACCAGGTGCCGTCTTACTGATTCATGAATTGTAACTGATAACTTTTTTTCCTACAAGCTATATGCATTCACAAAGAACACAAATTCCCTGGAAATTAGAGGACTGTAGTAAATAACTATGAGGTTTATATTAATAACTGTAATAATAACACATCATGTATTACTGTCCAAAATGCAAACGAATGGCTTCATCTTTCCTATGTTAAATAATTCAAAAATACTGACCTCGATGACTCAAGACTTAATCAAAAAACCCACAGCTGCTCCTAAAAATAATTATCTCCTTTGCAGATGTGGCAGATGGTGCTACATCAACTAAGATGAGATAATTTAAAGAATTCCCCAGGTTATCACCAAAGAAAATTAATCTTGTGAAACAGTATCAGAAACTTCAATTTCCTACCATCTTGAATAAGCATAAACAGCTTCCCAAAACTTGTGTTCAGTAATCATTCCTAAGGAGCAATCTCAATAAACAGTAAGTGACCATTACATTTTTGATATACATATTACAGCCTGCTGCTTTTCCTCTTTTCATTACAACTCCTAATCTTGGCATTTTGAACATATAAAATGTACTGATCCATGAAAAAATAATCTTGAAGGAAGCAAACAGAATAAACACAGGGAGGTTTCTCAGTGCAATTAATGCCAAGCTATAGTGAGCTACATTTCTGTTGTTCTGCTAATATTTGTAGTGAACATCATGAACAACAAAAAAGGAATGAATCTCATTTTGAAATAGAAATATGAGAGAAATTAAAGCAGAGCAAAATACCTTAGCATCTTCTTACTTTTACCCTACCAAATAAACCTGAAAGCTACTAAGCAACTGAGGAGGGCAGCCACTTAATCCAGACCCTAAGCAAGAAGCAGTTTTGAAAGGCATGCAGTGTTCAAACAGCATCTCTTAACTTCAAAGCCTTTTGAAGTGGACTGACTAGTCATACTCTTTCCTCATGCTACCTTTCAGATTTTACAGTTTTAAAATTTACCTTTGCAAGAAAACAGGTCAGCAAAGTCACCAGGAACAAAATTTTTAGATGTAACAGTGTCAAAGTTACTATTCTAATCCATAGAAATGGTTTTTATTCAGTCTGGACAATGTGTATACTTCAATCAGAGCACAGATGGTGAGTCAAACAGATGCTCTATAAATACCTCAGACA